TGCATCCGCTGCCTCTCCTCGACGAGAGCTTGATTTCCTGTTCTTTAAGTTTGATTGGGCATGTTGCTGCGCCATCCCGGCACAAACCAGCATCACTCCTAGCGTTTTGTCTGCACTCGCCTGAGCTGACCAGGTCGTCCGTGCGCAGTCAGATGAAATGCATCTTGACACTGAGGCGAAATCTACATATTCGTCGGCGGCTTGGTTTGAGCAGCTCAGAAAGGGCCTTTCGATGTTTCTGCTTGCGATTGAGGCTGCGGGGTTTAGACGCCGGGTTTATGGTTTCAGGAATGGCTTGGTATGCCCGCTTGCAAGATGCCTTCACGTCTGAAGCAGCTTAGGGTCAGAAAACATCAATAAGTTGCCCTTAGGTCTCCGAAAGCTTCAAAAAGGATTCTTCAAACTCCATGCGTGCCCACTAATCCATAAGAAACCGTGCTGAACCTTGCCTTGCTGGGATTTAGGAACCAGTGTCACGACATTTACGACAGGAAAAGCTATCCTTGAAGTGCAGGATGCTTCAGCAAACGGATATCAACTTCAACGAGTTGCCCTGCTGATGTATCGCTTGATTCTGGTGGATTGCGTGGCCCAATAAACGTGTTTGTCCTCGTGCTAGAGGTATCGTAGCAACACTGCCTCTCAGCATTAACTTCAACTTACACCGCAACGTGCCCAACATGTCCTTGACAAAAAAGCAAACTTTACAGACCCATAGCCTGCCTAATAGTCTTCTGACAGCATGTCGCCGGTGCTATGCAACGTGCAGCGGCCTCCGGCGCGGCGCACCCCGGTCCCTTGACGAATACACTGCGTGCGAGCGGGTTTTTCTGGCGAACGCCAGAGCACCACATGCGAGCAGAGACTCAGCTGAAAAGACATGTCCCAGCCAGTTGCCTCAGCATAGCAGAACGTTCAAACTGTGTTCAGGTGCAGCGATCTTCAATGTAATTGGGCAAACAGCTTCTCAGCTGCAGTTGGTTCGATTCACGGCCCGGCTGGGTGCGTGATGGATGTGCCGTCTCGGTCGCAAGTTTCGGAGAGAGCAGCGGCCTCCCCTTGAGCACACCTCGAGAAACCTGCCGGATGTTCCGACACACATTGTAGGGTCCTCAGGACATGCTAGGCCTGATCGTTTGGAAAGCGCAGCACCGGGCTTGATGCTCAGCTCGCTGGAAGTTGTCTCTGCATGTGGCCACTGTCCCTCCCCGAAGGCTACATGTCCGGAGAATTGTTAAGAAGGCCCTGATGCAACTTGTCGGCGAGCTTGTTGAGATCAGCAAGCATGAATGTAGAAATGAATCCAAACATGAGGCACATGTAAATAGACGCTAAGCCCTAAAATGCCTAAACCCTGATAGGGACAGTTGAAGAGAAGCGCCAGCCGACGAGGACTGACTGCTTCATGAATGTGTTAGGGTTTTAGGGTTAAGGATATTGTCGTGTGTCAGGGTCTCAAGTTACAAGGACGGGTTCGTTTTAGGCCTGCGTATCTGAAGGTCATTTTCAAGGGTCTCCACAGGGCTCGGCTATGATCTTTGCAGATTTGTTTTGGGAGGCAGGAAGGGGCGTTAAGAGTCTGTTTATAAGTATCGGGTGCAGGGTTTCGTGCTTGAGTTGTTCGGGATTTGGTGTTCACCGCTTTTGTTTTTTTCGGATTGCGCGGCGTGTTTCTGCCTGCACAATGGACTAACTAACTGGTTCCGATGCTGCTGTCAGCGCATGTCTTGAAATGAATTGAGGTTCCTTAAGGAGAGACTAGCTGTGCAGGATAGGACGGATAGGATAAGGAATTCTGGTTTAGTTCGCAGCACATAGCAGCTGTGCTCTCGTGTCTCGAGACTGGTTCATTTTGGCGGAGATTGGTGGAGCTGTGACTCCACAGCGGATTAATGCTAGTGTGCGCTTTCCTGTTGAGGTCAGAGGAGAACGTGCTCGACCTCCGTGCGACACCGCCTGGTAACTTTCTTCTCATCCAGGCACCATGCCTTGTTTGCAGTTTCTTTTCAAGCGCAACAGAGGGCATTGAAGACGGGCTTGCTGCGGTAGGAAGCAGTGCATCATCGCCGTCTCAGGGCACTTGTGACAGCGATCACGACGGTTCTCCGAGGACACAAGCAGAGTGTCACACCGAGAAGAGTTCTTCATCGCGTGAGTGGCTCGCCTGCAGGAGACTCCCGTCTACCTCCCTCGTGAGCAACATCGAGGCCCTGATAGCCTAAGTGCAGAAGGAGCACAGCCCTGAAGATGTCTTGCATTGAAGTATCCGCAAGGGCGCCTCAAGTTTGAGATGTTCATTTGGTTGCACACGCGCTTCGCATGTCAAGCAGTTGCAACTGTCACTGGAGAGGAGTGAAGGCAGAGCCTCAACGGGCGCGTTTGTTCCTCGTCTCAGACTCGCGCCTGTTTTTCCGTCGCTGCGATGCGGAGGGGTCTGTGCCTGAAGCGGCACGATGAGTGAAGAGCCATTCCTCTGGTGGCATCTGCTGCTTCGTGAACGAGCTGATCGCAAAAAGACTTCTTGTCAATGAGGGTTGAAGGGAAATATCGGTGCTCTGGGCTCACATGAGACTCTGCATGAGGTGCCTTCTGGCAAACTCTTCCGTCGGCGACTTGATTCTACTGCAGCCTTGGCCAGACTTTCCTTGCCTCTGGATTCTGGTGGAGCTGTTCCTGCGGCCCAAAACAGTGCTCGTCTTCGTGCTCGAGTTACCACACAACACTAACCATACACAGCACTTACCATACTTTCACAGCCTTAACTTCAACACACACACACACACAGAACGACATGCTAAACATCCTTCGCCAGAGGAAGGTAATTTCAACACACCTCTAACCTGCCTAGTTGTGCTGTGCGAACTTGACAACATGTCGCCGGTGCCATGCAACGTGCAGTGGCGGCCTGCTGCGCCTGAACTGAACCAATACGTCCCTGGCCCTGGCCGAGTACACCAGATGTGAGCGGGTTCCCTGGCAAATGCCAGTATGCTACCTGTGAGCAGAGACTCAGCTGAAAAGACCTGTCCCAGCCCGTTGCATGTGGTATTTGCCTGGAAGCTCGCGCAAGAGAGTCAGGTGGAACAAGGCGTTCGTCGTGGTGGACATGCAAGAGCTCTTCGAGCTGTACTTAAGAAAGTACGTTTTTCGGTATGTTGGAGTCTGTGTGCAAAGGACAAGAGAAAGGTTCCAGCATTTTTCAAGCAGATTCAGCATGGCAAGCCCTTCAATCGGAGCTCAGGTACCAGGAACTTCGGGCTGAGGCCCAAACGGCCCCGATGCTGCGCAAAATGCATTTCGTCTGCAGTTCGTTCGATTTGTGTGCCTTGGTGGGTTCATGATGCAAGTGCCATCTTGGCCAGAAGCTTTGCAGCCAGCGTCGGAGTTTCCTTTCCGAGTCTTCGGAGCTGTGCTCTAGCAGTTCTTTCTGGGTCTTCTTCTGGCTTTTGAATTGAGCTCAGGTGCAGCGATCTCCGCCGCGATTGGACTGACACAGAGATGCTGGAAAAACAGCTGCTCAGCTGCAGTTGGTTCGATTCACGGCCCGGCTGGGTGCGTGATGGATGTGCCGTCTCGGTCGCAAGTTTCGGAGAGAGCAGCGGCCTCCCCTTGAGCACACCTCGAGAAACCTGCCGGATGTTCCGACACACATTGTAGGGTCCTCAGGACATGCTAGGCCTGATCGTTTGGAAAGCGCAGCACCGGGCTTGATGCTCAGCTCGCTGGAAGTTGTCTCTGCATGTGGCCACTGTCCCTCCCTGAAGGCTACATGTCCGGAGAATTGTTAAGAAGGCCCTGATGCAACTTGTCGGCGAGCTTGTTGAGATCAGCAAGCATGGCTACTCTAAAATGGGTGCATTTTGATGACCAGACAGCTGGCGCTTTGGGATGCAATGCTAGTTCCTAGTGCCAGACTTTGTGCCATGTAGCGACCATGCAGCCAAGTTGCCTTTCCCCCCAAGTCATTCCCCCCATGTGCTGTGGCCGAGCCGTTTCGTGCTGCTCTGGCACGCTTGTAGGTGGTTCCATGGACCAAGGCGCCTTGACGCAAAGACAGAGTGCTGGAGCGGTACGGCATGCGATCAGCTGCTCGGCCGATGTGTCTCGGGAGCGCGGAATCACGACTAGTCTGGAAGAGAGGGCCGAGCTAGCACATGGGGAGCACATGCCAAGCATATCCAGGGCGCCCTGCGACAGGGCGTCTGGAGTTCGGGAGTATGCCGATATCTCAAAGAACCCTTGCCGCCGCCAAATGTTAAAAACACTTGGTTTTGACCCTACAGACCCCTTACGTCCGTTACACCGCCAGGATACTTTAAAACGGTTGGGCCGGATGACTTGTTTGGACTATTTCATTGACAGTCGGAGAAAGTTGCGAGCTTCTTCGAGGTTGCTGCAGCATAAATGTCCAACCATCTGACTTCTTGCAGTTCTTGACTGTTAACTCATTCCTTGAGGTGGCTGCACGGACCAAGGTGCCTGGACGACGCGGAGGTCGGGAGCGACACGACGAAGGCTTCAACGGAGCACCTCGATCAGCCACTCGGCTAATGTTGTGCTTTGGAGCCAGGGACGATGATCCAGGCACCATGCCTTGTTGGCATTGTGGTCTCAATTGCAGAGCGGGACGTAGAAGACGCAGCATTTGTTCCTCTGCAGCAAAAAGCTCAGGAAATCTGAAGAGGATCCAGTCCAGAAGATCGCCGTGGAGTGCCTTCAACAGCAGCTCAGGCACGCCACCCGCAACACATGGGCTCGTTCCCTGTGCCAAGGAAGACTCAAGAAGAGGAAAGAGGGGCGTCTGCACCTTCTCCGAACACTTTCGACAGCGACGACGGCAATACGGAGGATGCAAGCGCAGTGTCACACCGAAAATCCTTCAGCATCTGAGAGTCTCACCGACAGGAGCTTCCACACCCTGCCCCTTGCCACGTTTCTGCCAGCGAGGCAGTCTGCCTAAGTTAGCTCTAGATGGGAGTAAGCACATTCCGAGAACTCACCCGAAGCATGTGGTTACCAGGCTGAGATGAAGGATGGTGAGCAGCCCAACATAGAGGCCTGAGAATGCAAGTGCCAAAGGAACATAAAGGAACACAGCTCTGTTGATGTCTTCGACAGGAATATCTGCCTGGAGCGCTCCGGGCCGACATGGGCGAAGTTCATGAGGGGAGCTTTGGCCGCATGCTGGCTTCACGTGTCAGCTTTGCCACTGTCGCACGTGGGTGTCTTCGGTCCGGAGAGGCAGGAAAAGAAGCGGAAACGGGGAGCCTCAATGGACTCGATGGGTGCGCACGGACCGGAATCCGAAGCTGAGAAGGGGCAGGCGGAGCCTCATTTGTCTCAGACGCATGCCTCATGCCTGTTCTCCATCGAGTCTCCCAACGGTTCACTGTTGCTTCCATTGCAGATGCTTGAGCATGCGGGCTCGAGGCAACCATGGATCCTTTGCACAAGTCCTTCGAAGCTCTGCAACTTGTCCGCCAACGAGCCCAAAACAGCGACACCAGCTGTGAAATGTCGGAGCGTGCCGAGGCCCGTCTTGTTGCAGTACCTCTCGGCCGCTTGTCTCCGATATTGGAAACTTGCTGTGATTGGAAATGTAGAATCACATGCAGACCCACGACACTGGGACCCGAGGTGAGAGACATCTTGGCCTGGCGTCAGACATCCCTGCAGAACCGGAGTCCTAAGGCCGGGGGTGTCTCCGCAAGCTTATTTCAAGCCGAAATCCACCCAAGGCCGTGTTGCAGCACGTGGCCAAGCTTTGCCCTTGCGGCTTGGACACGCCGGGACCCAAGAGCCGCCTGGCTCATGTGCTGGTGGAGTGCTGGGCAACTCCCGATCCGTGCAGGGTCGACATGCTCGTCGCCTATTCTGAAGAAGTGGACCGGAATGTGAACTCGATCTCAATCTCCGAAGCCCTCGATGTCGAAAGACAAAAGTGCTTTCATTGCTTCTAGATCTGTTTAACACGTCCTCAGAATAGGAGGTCCTTCTGCCAGCAGTCCCCTTTCAGCATGCCAGCCATCTTGTCTTTCATCTAAGGCCAGGATTGGTGTTTAATGCTGGCCTATGCCGGCAAAAACCCATTCTTTTGATGAAGAGGACGTGCGTAAGATCATCGGCCAGCACCTCCAGAGCGCATTCAGACTTTCACTCGACCCAAGTGATGACGTCTGTGCTTCGGCCCACCATGTGATTGGAGAATATGGTCAAGGCGGCTTGCCCTTTGCGCGCGAGCTGATTGCAGAAGCCATGCTCAGTCGGATGCGACAGCTCATGTCGACGGATGAAAGGCTTTGGGTGCGCTGGCAACGGATGTTGTATTGCATGCAACATTTCGAAGCTGTCCTGCGATCGCTGACCAAGCCTCAGCGGCAGGAATGGGTATCGTTGCTGGTCACAGGCCTTCATCGTGTCGAGTGTCGTACTGAATCAGTCAAAAAAGCTTCAGTTGTGGACTGTTTCAATGAAAGTCGGAAGATGGTGTTGGAGGACCTGATGCTCCTCTGGTGTGTTGATGACGATCCCGGCAAGACTTACGAAGAGGTGAAGCCGCAGCTACGTGCCTGGCACGGATCCAGGGCCTTCCAGGACGTGCGAAACAGCTTGGTGTTCCTCATCGAATCCTGACCTTCGACTGACAAGCACAATATCTTTCCGGAAAAATGGGCGAGGGGTCACTCCGAACCTTGAGAATAACAGGAAGACATTTAAAGCCTTGACTGCCGAGGTCTGGATGTTGCGGCGAGCGAAACGCACCCAACAACGATTCCAGGCCAGAATGGGTAGAGGATAGATTTTCGTCCTGTTGTGGGCGGTTCAGGTAGAAGAGTGGATGCAGTAGAGATTGTCTCTTGTGGCGGTGAGGAAGAGGACTGGCGGGTCTTTACTGGCTGGTCTGGTTTGGTGGAGCGAAAGGAGGTTTTGAGTGTAATTGAAAGCGAAGAAAGTTTTGCTTGGAGGGAGGAGGGGCGAGGCAGGCAAACGCAACGAGGATGGCTGGTGGGGGTCGGCAGGCAGACGCGACGCAGTGAGGGCAGTGAAGGAGGCCATAGCGAGACCAGGACCGCTCATTTGTGATGATGCTCTCTGTGCTGAATCGTTTTCGCAGCCAGCACTCTGTGGGCTGATCCTGCAGACCCTGTAAACCTTAAACGGCTCTAGAATTTTACAACATGCTGGGTTGCGGATACAGCGATGACGAGGGTGCTGGCGACGGTGCCGGGTGGGGGGCGGTCGACAGACGCAATGAGGGCGGTGAGGGAGGCCATTGGGCGACCAGGTCTACAGCTTGGGGCTGCTCCGTGGGTTTGGGTTGTGCAGCCAGAGCTTTGGAATCTGTTCTCGAGCACCTTGGTCTGAAGATAACCGGAAGCAAGTGTGCTCATGTCAATCGATGTCCATGTAGGCTTTAAGCTCCAATATTTTGCGTGTGTTGATGTCCCTGATTGAAATTTTGCGTGCAGGATGGATTCGAGGATGACGAGGCAGGAAAAGGGTTGGCTCGCGTGATGCTGCTCAGAAAAGCAATTCTGCGCAACAGTAACAACAGATCAAACAAGTGTCCGCAGCTTGCACTCTTGCATGTTTTCGTGGCGACGTGAGGGTAATGTTTCCTTCATGCCCTCACATGCTCGTCTCATGACAAGGCGCCTTTGATGGTGCAACTTGATGGTCGAGTGACTTGGGCTGGACAGGTTGCCAGGAAACTGTGGTCAGTGCAGATCTGGGTACTGCAGGTGAGATATTGTTTTCCGGAGGGCAAGAAGACAATCATCGGTGGACCTGGGCAGGTCCGTGCTTCAGCACAGCATTGGAGGTGCAATGTCGTCAGAGGTCGAGTAGGCAATACCCGCTGATGACTTGCGACACTATTGCATGAACGACGGGACTTCCGCCGGCAGTGAGGTAGGGCCTCGGCAATGTTGTAATCTTGTCAACTCGCTACATGGTTCTGCGGCTCATATCCCAGCCGTGGCCTGGAGAGCCGTTGTACTCGCCATCTCCCGCAGTTTTTCCATCTGTGCACGCAGGACACGAAAAGCTCTGAGACACCCGCTCCGGATGTATCCTTGCTGGGTGCTGGCATCCGGAGGCATGCCTCCAGAGAAAACAAGCCTCATGTACCCGTCCAGCCTGGAGGCTTCATGCCAGCGTTGTGAACGAGGACAGCCGCTGTGTCCTGACAGCGCTCAGCATGGATGCCGCGAAGGCTTCGTGCATGTTTGCTGCCTTTGCTTTGCGATTCCGAAAAGTGAGAACGAAAGCCTCAAGCTGGAAGTCGGCGAGCGTGTCACACTTGTGCGAGGCCACCTGTTTGAACGGCTTCCGGCTTGACAAGCTCTTGCAGGCAAATGGGCAGAGATGTAACGCGACTTGTAACCTTTGGCAGACCCGAGAACTCGCGAGCTTCCGGCCAGGCCCCGGAGCTCGTGAACCGCGAACTGCTCGGATATGGCCTCGAGCTGCAGCACCGTGATCACCTGAAGTTCGGCCTGCCACCGAGCCATCGGGACAAGCTTTCTGAAGGTTGTTGTCTGTTTCGGGCCATGGTCGGGGTGTTGCCGAGGTCATTGCTACTTCGTCTTCGTGAATCCTACAGAGGGCAGCTTGGAGGCGCAAGCTGAGATGCCCTACGTTTCTTTTTTTTAGCCTCAATCCTAGGCAGGAAACCCTAAACCCTGGGTGGAGGTTTCTGCAGATGCCCTGCGGGCCGTGCACTTGTTCTACCCCTATTGAAGATGGTTGTAGGTGGCGTGGCACCGTGGGCTTGTCGTAATGCGTGGTGCATTCGTTATCCTAAGCCTGCTAAACCGTTGCGATCCTTGCGGTTGGGCGGTCAATCGCTTTGCTTGAGCCTAGCAGCTAGCATGAAGGGAATACGCGAGTGTTGAGACAGAGGTTGTTGCAGTCCCTTGCACCTTGCTTCAGACCGGGCCAAGGCGGGTCGAGGACGGGATCACCACTCGATTACCCGCTTGCTTAAATCAAAGCACATGCTCGCATGCTTGCACAACAACGAAGATCGGGCGCTTGATTGTTTGTAGATCGCTGCCTTGAGGGAGTTCTTGATTGACGATGAGTTGTAGCAGAGTGATCAGGCCGCTTTCATTGCTCGGAGAGCCACCTCAACAAACGCCGTCAATCCCAACTTGGATGGACGATGCCACGGTTCTAATTGCTACAGGTGGAACGTGTGGTTGACACGGTGCATGCTACACACACACTGCTGTTGCAGACGTTGGTATAGGCGTCAACTTCGACACACGCAAAACCGCAGTGATCCTTTTGCATTTACGGACGGCAATCTAGAACTCACGCCCGGATATGGCTCTCGGGTGTCAAGCCGACCATACAAGTCAACTTACAGGGTGGGGTTGACATCGACTTGGTCATTACTGAGCAGTATGTGCACTTGGGCTCTGTGGTGCACCATCGAGCTAGCGACACCGCGGATCTGTGTCAGAAAAAGCTGTCGGCCAAGCCGGCCTACGAGCCTTTGCACAAGAGGCTGCTCGGTTCCTCGACATTTGTGAGAAGAAGGCCTTGATAACATCAATTGTCGAGCAGTTGGTCCTGCGCACCGAGGGCGAGTTGAGGCAATTCCAAACAGGCCACGTTGCACCTTGGTGTCGAGCATGTCGACCTTTGCTTGGCGTGACGGTCGCTGGGTTGACTGGTGAAGAAGTTTGTGATGCAGGTCCTTCGTCCCTGCGAAAGGCTGGCTGTTGAGAGAGTGCGAACCTTTGCGACAGTTGTTGACCAAGACCAACGGTCATCTCTCTCATGTGTTGGAACATGACTCTTGGTGGGTACCTCTTGTCTTGTCAGACTCGCGCATGGTCAGGGTGAGATCCGGGGCTCATTTCAAAGTGAGCTTTCAAAGTGCGTGTGTTTGCGTCGAGCGCATGTTGGTGGAGTTCGAGGTCGCAGACAAGAGGTCAAAACATGCTGAGAGCTGCTGAGAGCCTTTAAGAAACGCACCTGAAGCGTCTGATTTCATCAGACTACGGGTTTGCTTGCGAACTGAAGCATTGCAACGTGGCGTAGTGCTTGTCAAACTTGCTGCGGACAAAGTTCCTTCCGAAGCCGTGCTGCCTTAGGCAGTCACATGGCCAAGGTGCATGGCAAACCGTCCAAAGCAGTAGGAGGTGTTGGCGGCACGGATTGTCAGGCCCGGTTGAAGCAATATCATTCCACTCACCGCTTGCACCATCTTCGGCGCAGCAGTCGTATCTGCCAGGCAGCATAGCAGGGTTCTGACGCTGCTGAGGGTCCCCAAGTCGGGACCCCAACAAGTGTGAACATCCGAGCCCTACATACTCGGAGGCCCTGATCGCCAGTGGGCAAGCCGATTTCTACGAGGCCCAGCTCCCTGGCTAAAGCCGCAGTCCCAAACGGGCTGGGTTTTAATTCATCCTGCCAGGTCTTTTTTCGCCTTGCAATTGAACTCAAGGGTTTTTTCTACCGGCAGAGAGGGGGTGAGCAAGGGCGAGGCCAAAAAGCCACAGATGAGGAGGCCGGGTTGGGGGTGAGAAGGATGGGGAGAAGACCCAGCAGTGGGGCGAGAAAAAGACCTCGCAGCGTTGTTTGAGGGCGAGGAGCTGTGGCAGGGAAAACGGGCCTCAATGAGGGAAAAGGGAGGCCTCGCAGATACCCAGCGGCGGAGAGATGAAAGACGCTTCTAAGGGGAGGGCCCGGCGCGCCTCCATCAGGGGTGCAACGCGCAGCGCGTGGGTCCTGCTAGTTTCGAAAGCGTTGGCTTTGCGGAGTTTTCAATCCGCCCGCCAAGGTCTTAACGTGGGAAAGGTTCCCTCGGGGGAGGGAGGCTCGGCAGACGACGGCAGATGGACAAAAAGCACGAAAAGCACTGCGTTTGCCAGGCAGGCAGTTTTCAGCCCACTCCCCACAAGGCCCACGACCAACGGAAAAGAAGCCCTCCCGATCCCCAGAAGTGACACCTGCATGCAGGAACGGGTGCAAGCGAGGTTCTAAACAGTGATCCATGATATAAGGTTATATACGCCCAGGCAAAGGGGTGTCAATAGGGGTGTCGGTAAACACTTAGAATACGGGTTTGGGGTACATGACATTACATACAGTATAGGAATATTGGTGACAAAAAGGGGATGATCTATCTATCTATCTACCTACCTATCCATCTATCTGTCTGTATGTATGTCTGTCTGTCTATTTGTCTGTCTATTTATCTGTCTATTGTCTTATCTGTCTGTCTATCTATCTATTTATCGATCTATCCATCTATCCATCTACCCATCTGTCCGTCTGTCCATCTATCCATCTATCCATCTATCTATCTATCGATCCATCTATCCATCTATCTGTCTATCTATCTATCTATCTATCTATCCATCTATCTATCTATCCATCTATCCATCTATCCATCTATCCATGTATCTATCAATCTGTCTATCTGTCTATCAGTCTATCTATCTATCTATCTATCTATCTATCCATCTACCTGTCTGTATATTCACAGACATAAACACAGACATACTTGTACCTACTTATACAAACGCACATACCTACATACATGCATACATACGACATACATACATACATACATACATACATACATACATACAGAGACATACACGCACGCATACATAACATAGCATAACATAACATAACATAGCATAACATAACATAGCCTAACCTAACATAGCAGAACCTAACACAACATAACATACCATAGCGTAGCAAAGCATAACATAGCATAGCATGACGTGATGTGACATGACAAAACATATTATAGCAGCATAACCTAACAAAGCATAACATTGCATAGCATAGCACTGCATAACACAACACACCATAACATAACATAACATAACATAACATAACATAACATAACATAACATAACACAACATAACACAACATAGCATAACATAACATAACATAACATAACATAACATAACATAACATAACATAACACAACATAACATAACATAACATAACATAACATGACATAACATAACATAGCAGAAAATACCATACCTGACTAAACACAAAATGACGTGACGTAACGTAACGTAACATAGCATAGCATAACATGAAACGTCATAACATAGCCTTACGTAAAATGATTGCTGGATGGATGGGTAGAGGATGGAGCCAGGAATGTTTGCAACTGTACCTTTTGTGTTTGCCTTGCAGTTGCCAGAGCTTTTCATCTGAGCTCAGGATTCAGGAGACCAGAGCGAGGTCCCAGCCCCAGGGTCAGTTTTTGCCGCATTTTATGTGTTTTTCTTTTCTTTGCGAAGGCGTCTAAAGGCGGTTTAGGGTTCAGGCTTCGGGCTCATGATTTAGGTTTTCGGGTTTGGGGCTTCGGGAATGCCCAAACCCCGGCCTCGAATTTCGAGACTCTTGAACCCGGAAGCCTAAAGCACCCAAACCGTCGAGCCTTCGGCTGCAGTCCTTTGTGAGGTCCATTGAGCAGCGCTTGTTCTCACCGAACCAAGTTCTTCCAGGCCGAGCAGTGAGTCGTTGTTCCACTTCATTTCGAGGTTTTTTCAGTCAAGCAAGATGAGTTGAATGGGGCCTGCTATGGTAAAGTTGTGAATCGCAGAGAAGGGCATACTACTACCAGATATGTTCGGAGTCCTCAGAAGTTGCCCGGAAGATCAAGAGTTTACTTCAGCAACCGGGGCCCAAAACTGAAGATCAGACCCCTTGTGCTTGCTTCTTGTCTTCAGGACTCGACGACATGAGGGACATTGCAGAGGCCCCGATGTGCGTGTTCTTGTGCACACGAAGTATGCCACAGCCGTACCGCCCGGGAAGTTGGGGGATGTTCCCTGACGGGATGCACAAGTTGCAGGAACTGGAGCAGAAAAAGAGAGAGCTTCAGATGAAGGACCACCGCAGCCGACGGTGTCTCCCAGGCTACTTTCATCAGATATGTGGCTCAAATGCAACAGCCTTGTAATAGTGCCATCATTAGTATTAGTATAGTTCCATAAAGTTCCACAAAAGAGCCGTCTCCTCCGACCTCTCAGATCCCGCAGGATTCGCTGCTGCGTGCCAAGGACGAGGAGGTCGAGCAGCTCCGCTCGGAGCTGGACGCTTTGCGTGAAGGCCTCATGTCCGGGCGGTGAGTCGAGTCTCGCGGATATTTCGAGGAAGCATCCGTGCCTGTCAACCATGCATGTTGGTGCTGGCACTTGGCACTGGCCACTCTTCACAGCAACTTCTTTTGAATATCAATTTCCGTGCGTGCATGTGCTACATGCAAAAGGGTTGCAATCAATCTTTTCAAGACCCTGCTTCGGACACAGGACGACATCGCCACGACATGTCCCACATGTGTGGAACAGGCCGTATGCAGCAGGGCTTGACTTTGTTTATGCTGCCTTTATGTGACTTTGTCAATGCTCGCCCCTCCTTTTGATGCTCCATGGTCAGGGGCGGCTGGGATGGGGGGGGGGAGAATGGATGGGCAATGATGGGCACTACTGGGCCTACCTTTATGCCTAACTGCGACTGCTGCTGCTGCTGCTCCTGCTCCTGCTCCTGCTCCTGCTCCTGCTCCTGCTGCAACCACCACTGCTACACTGCTGCTGCTGCTGCTGCTGCTGCTGCTGCTGCTGCTGCTGCTGCTGCTGCTGCACTACTACTACTACTACTACTACTACTACTACTACTACTGCTACTGCTACTGCTACGCTACTACTACTGCTACTAC